GGGTGCAAGAGGTTGTGTGGGATTCAAATCCCCCTGCAGGTCGGGCTGGGGCGCGGCCTGTGTGTCTGGAGTATGCCTGATCAGGTTGATGATCGACACAAAGAAAAAAAATCTTCCCATGTGCGCCGGTGACAAGAGTGGGCCGGAGATTCCCACGTGCCCCGTCGCAGAAATTGGGGCCAGGAGACCGCGTCGTGCGTTGCCGCAGCAACCTGAGCTCCCCAGGCGACCTGTGAAACGCAACACGTGCCCCTCCGCACCGCACTGACTTGCCAGGACGTGACCATCCTGCCAGTCTTCTTGGTGTCTCCAGCGCTCCGTCACACTCCTGCGTTGTGTGTTGACTGCACTGCACCCAGCTCCTAACTTGGTGCTGTCCTCGAATTTCGTTGCTGCAAATGGCAAACGGTGTTGGGCCAGCAGGCTGTGAACCGAGCGGCATTTGGCACCCTCGCTTCCGCCCTTTATTTTGACCCCCCTCCCCTCTTGGGCTGCGTCTCTGGACCAGAAGTTGAACGCTGGTTGAAATTGTGTCAGACTGAGGCGCAGAAACAGGCCGTTCGGCCTGTGCTGTCTCCTCACGCTTCACGACGTGAGAACGCTAAACTCCACACTGCGGCGCACTCTTGTTCACCGGGCACCGTTGCAAGGATCACGCCAAGATCAGTGCCGCGCCAGCTGGCTGTCAATCTCAGCGAGGTGAAAGATTGCCGGCACTTCACCCCCGAGCCCTCCTTGTGGCTCCAGCCAGGAAGGAGCCGGTGACACCAGAGATGAGCCGTGTCCTCGTCATCTGTGTCCTAACCGCTTCCATCCACCTTAGTTTTCCGATTGGACAGCCCGTCACACTTGCTTAATCCTAACCTAGTGTTCCGGGAGTCACGCACTGCGTCGTCTTTTTTTTCAAATGTTCATTCACGGGATGTGGGCCCCTTATTGCCCATCCCTAATTACCCAGAGGGCAGTTGAGAGTCAACCACGTTGCTGCGGGCCTGGGGTTTGGGGTGGGTCACATGTAGGCCAGACCAGTTAAGGATGGCAGTTTCCTTCCCTCAAGGGCATGACCGAACCGGATGGGTTTTTCCCGACAATCGGCAATGGATTCGTGGCCATCATTTAAAATCTTAATTCCAGCTTTTTCCGTTGAATTCAAATCTGCAGCTTTAGTCTTCGAACCTGGGTCCTCAGAACATTACCCGGGTCTCTGAATCAATAGTCCAGCGGTAATACCGGTAGGCCATTGCCTCCCTGTGGCAGTGACCGTGCAACGTGGTGCCAACCAGTACCCATCTTAGAGGGGCACACTGTCTTTCAACGTCATGAACTGGGACCATGGGGAGGGAAGGGAGTTAGCCACATGATTCAAAATGGAGCGTACAACGCTCCCCATCTCCAGGTTCAAGTGACTGAAGCTCGGAAACTTGGATTTCCTGGCCGTTTTTCTCTCTCTCTATCTCTCTCTCTCTCTCTCTGTCTCAATCTCTCAATTGAACACAGAGTGAGCTATTTCTTTTTGACTGAATTTAATGGCAGAAAATGTCACCCCACCCCATGGCCCCCTGGCCTCTCAGATCCGAAATGACGATGAATCACCTTGGTGGGTTGGGGGTGGGGGGAGCGGATGGGGGGCTGGGTGGGGGGGCGCGCGTGGATAAGAGTTGGCATGGGGAAGCGAGATCTGCCTGGCCGCATATTTCTCCCAAAGCTCAGAAAGCCGATTGACCGGGTAACGGTGGTGCGGCGGCACGCGGGATCTTGCTGTGTGCGGGTTGGCGGCCAGGGGTGGGGTGGGAGTGGGGCTTCGGGATGACGTGAGGTCGTGCCAGGTTCCGCGGCGACGCACAAGAGTCTTTTTGACATGTTCCCCCCACCCCCCAACACCCCCCGCCCGCTCCCTTTTGCAAACGCAGGCATCGACTCACCAACTGGCATCGACTTCTCCGGTGTGGCGACCACCTCTTTCACCGTGCACTGGCTGCCCCCCAAAGCCCGCGTCACCAGCTACCGGGTGCGGCACCAGCTCGAGGGCAGCACCAGGCCCAAGGACGAGCGGGTGCCGGCCTCCCGCACCTCCCTGCTGCTCACCAACCTGGCCCCGGGCTCGGAGTACGTCGTCAGCATCTACGCCTACAACGGCCGGCAAGAGAGCCTGCCCCTGGTTGGCCAGCAGTCCACAAGTAAGCCGGGGCGACGCGAGGCCCCTTGCGGCCGCATAGCCGGGCCCAACCTCTCGGGCGCTGGCCCGCGCCCGTGGGTGGATCAGGCGTTTGGTGGGGTGGGCACGGTTTGGTGGGGGAGGGGAGGGGTGGTGGGTAGCGTTGGTGGTTGCGGGAAGCTGGCCTACGCCCAGCGGCACCCACTGGGAGGGAGGCTGAAGGGTTGGGGGAATGGGGGCGGGGTGGGTGGGGTTCAGGCCAAGGGGCAGTGCGAGGCCTCATGTTGACGCCTGAACTGGGCCGCACTAGAATTGTTTTCAGCGCTGATGCTTCTTGACGTGAGTGGCCGTGACAGAGAGAGACAATACCAGAGCTCGACGTCCATCCTGCATCCCGTAGTTTGCACGGTATAACAGTCCCGACGTTCCCATTGCGAATCGTCCTCCCTCCGGCGGCTCGCGGACGCAGTGGCTTCAGCAGACTGGAGTAATCAAATGCGATCAAAACGGATTCAGTCACCCCCAGCGTCCAACGAGCCTGTTCACGGTCAACGCTGACTGGGCTCGAGAGGGGTCGGACAGAGGCCCTCCTGGAGAATTTTCTCCAGTAATTTTTGTTTTTTTGCCTTCCCAAACAGTACGACTGTGAGAGGGAAGGGGAGGGGGCCGCTGTGGGGTTAGAGAAGTGTTCCGTCTCGTGAGGTGGGGGACAGGCTCACAGGCCCCTCACCCCCCTGCCCTCCGCCCTGCGCCTCATGTTTTAATGCGAGCCACTTCTTTCTCCAGTCTCCGATTCTCCGACTGACCTGGAATTCACCCGTTCCACGCCCAAGAGCCTTACCATCAGCTGGAAGCCACCACCCGTGACTGTTAAATTCTACCGTATCGCTTTCGGAGAGTCAGGTACGTGCCTCTGTGCAGTCGCTGTGCGAGGGAGCATGGCCGTCCGGGGAAAGCTGTCGACATGGGGACTTTCAGTCGTTGCAAAAGGATCCAACTCAGCATTGACCTGGTACCTTCCTTGTTAAGACAGGCAGTTCTGATCTGGACACCTCACCTTACACAGGCTACGTTTGAGAGAGAGAGGGGGAGAGAGAGAGATGGCAGCCCAGATATAGACTCGTCACGCCATACAGCACGGGAAAAAGCCATTCGGCCCAACTCGTCCATGCTGACCAGGTTTCCCAAACTGAACTAGAGATAACACAGTTATCTGTGACATTTCAGAAATGCCTTCAGAAGGGTCCCGACCCGAAAATGTCAACTTTCCTGTTCCCCTGATGCTGCCCGGCCTGCTGTGTCCCTCCAGCTCCACACCGTGTTATCTCAGACTCCAGCATCGGCGGTTCTTGCTATCCCAAACTGGACTAGTCTCGTTTTGTGTTTGGCCCATTTCCCTCTAAACCTTTCCTATCCGTGTCCCTGTCCAAATGTATTTGAAATGTTGAAATTGAGCCTGTCTCTGCCTTGTCCTCTGTCAGTCCATTCCATGCACGTGCCACCCTCAGTGTGAAAATGTTGCCCCTCAGGTCCCTTTTAAACCTTTCCCTCTCTCACCTTCAGCCGATGCCCTCAAGTTTCGGACTCCCCTACCCTAGGAAAAAGACCCTAACTGTTCACTCTATCCATGCCCCTCGTGATTTTATAAACATCAATAGGGTTACCCCCCCGACCCCTGACTGCTGCTAAAAAGGTGAGAAGGTGGGCATTTTGAGAAAGATTGGGAAGCGTCGTCGCAGGATCCAGTGGGGAGAGGCTGGGAATGAGGAACCTAGAGGCCGCAGAAGGAGAACTCGGGCCTACCCATCGAGGATCCATTTTGATGCAATGCACACAATTCCACCACCCCAACCCCCCAACACCCCCCCCCCACCAACCCCTGGGCCGGGCAAGGCCAGAGGGGCGAGGTGGGGAGGGAGTGGTAGTAGTGGATGGATGGATGGACAAATGGAGCTGGAGGAAAGCCAGCAGTGGCTGGCAAAGGCCGCGAGTATGTCTTAACCTGGAGCTCTATCTCTCTCTCTCCATCTATCTCACTCGACTGAGCAATGAAATTCGAGGCCACCTCAGGTTGGCTGAAGAATCTGGGGCCTGCGTTGTAGTGCTGCCGCCTTCTCTTGCAGGCGAAGTGGGGGGGAAAAGTAGGCCCAAAGCAGGCCTCAGGCTCCTTGTGCGCAGCGAGCCTGCTTCGCGCCCCGGAGGCCCGCTGAGCGTCCCTGATCAACATGGCAGCTGGCATGCCAGAGGTTGGTGCCCCCTAACCCCCCAGTCATGTTGTGGTTGACGCTTGATCCTTTTGTTTACTTCCGGGGGGTTGGGGGGGAGAAAAGGGATTTTGAGTGGAGTGAAGGCAGCATGCCCCACAATGCTTTACCCACGTGTACCGTAATGTAGTTATCCTGTGGCATTCAGTGACCCGCACGTACTTTTCCTGTTAACCCCTCCCCCCCACTACTCCCTGCTCTGGCACAGGAGGCCGTGGACCAGTGAAGGAGATAACCGTACCGGGGGCCGATTCCACTGCCACCATCTCCGGCCTGCGCCCGGGCACCGAGTACACGGTGACTGTCTACGCCGTCACCGGCCGCGGAGACAGCCCGGCGACCAGCAAGCCAGTCGTGGGCTCCGAGAAGACAGGTAAGCACGGTGCGAGGGGTCAAAGTTCAAGGCCGTTTGGGGTTTTGAAAGGAACACACAGAGAGAGAGAGAGAGGCCTGTTCATCAGCTGCACCTCTCCACGAAGGGCAAGCCGACCACCTGCCCCTTTCCCCATGGCCCTAATAGTTTTCACTCGGAAGTATTTCCCCGACTTCCTGAGGTCAATAAAACCAGTCAATCGAAAAGATCTGGCTCCTCCATCCCTCTGGGCCAACACGTTCCGGGCCGTGACGAAACCGGATGTGTAATGAAAACAAAAAAAAAACCACAGGTTGGCAAAGTTCCCGTCTCTTTGCCTGGTCTCGTCGACCATCTTGAACGAGTATGTTCTGACAGCAGAATGGCACACTGTGCGCACGTGGGTAATGCGTTTTCCTCAGACTGGTAACCGGTCGCATCCAGTCACGCCCAGACTGAAGCTCACCCGGCCGGAGGAAATGACCTCCCAAGGGATGCCAACGCGGGGAGGGAGTCACAGGTGTGTGTCGCCGCCCTGGGGTCATAGGAGGTCTCTTTGTGGGACGGGCCGTCTGACCGTATGGGTCACGGGACGGGGATGGTGGTGGTGTATGTGGGGGTCGCAGCGTATCACTGCGGGTTCATGGGAAGGCCCTCAGTGGAGGGACGGGGGTGAGCTCCCATTGTTTGGTACCACGGGCAGTCTCTAGGGCAGGTTGGGGGGGGGGGGTGGGGGGGGGTGGGGGGGGGGGGGAGTTGGTTGGTGAGTTGGTAGGGGGGCAAACTTGGTCTCTCGTGAGCAGCCAGCGCGGACAGGACAGGGCGAATTTGCTCGCAGGCCTTCTCTGATGGCAACCTCCGCCATTTTCATTGTTTCCCTTCCCCCACCGTCTCCCATTTTCTCTCTCTCTCACTCTCTCTCTCTCTCTTCCCTGCCCCCCACCTCTCTCTCTGTGCCTTTTCTCCCCCCTCTCTTCCAGAGATCGACATGCCCACTTCATTGAAGGTGAAGGAAGTGCACGACAACAGCCTGACCATCAGCTGGAAGCCCCCCGTCGCCCCGGTGACCAGCTACAGAGTCACCAGTGCCCCGAAGGATGGCATCGGCCCAGTGATATCTCACACCGTCCCGGCAGGTCAGTCTCCAGAGGCGCCAGTCCGACGCAGGACCAGGGCTAATGGGGTCGGTCGGTGACCTGGCAACGTCTTACTGTCACTCCTGC